GAAATAGCACAAACCTCTGACAACCACAATACTCCACTTCATAAGCCTGCAAAAAGGGGCATGAAGATACAGGGACGCTTTTCATGTGCAACAAGCAAGAATCAGGTCAAAGTACAGCCCTTGGACTTGCGAAACAAGCCTTTCCACGATACACCAATCAGCAAGAATGGCTGAGAATCCTCCACTGCTCTCACCTTCCCCAGCCTAGCCCCAAAATTGTAACTTAAAGAAAGGCAAGTCCTTGCACGTTGTGTGTTTCAGACAGGTTTCAGAAGCAATCACAAGTGGTGAGACTGCCAAAACCGAGCTGGATTTTGATGTGAAAGGAGAAATCTGAGAGCTCCCCTGCCTTCTTAATGCTGAAGAAAACCAAAGCTGTCGAACAAGCCACAAGTGAGAGAAAGTGAGCTATCCACGAGAGGTGAAATTGTTATTACTCGTCAGTGCTCCAGTGGTTCCCCTGGAAAGGAAGTGACCTCACTCCAACTGTGGATTCAGTGAGCATTTCATACTCACTGGGGAAGAGGAAGTGCTCCTGTAGCTGGTGACATCTGCAACCCTTCCTCCAGCACATGGCTTGGCACATGTCCTCTAGCACACGGTCCATTATCTGCAATAAACATGCGCAGGAACTCCCCAGCCCAGCACAGGCTGCTGCCTCTCTTATGTGATGTATATGCATCATCCTCCTCGGCTTGTGGTTTGGAGACTTGGGTGATTAAAAATAATCACCTCTCTGTCCAACCGTGGGAGTTGCCTGAGCTGTGCATTCTGCCTGAGTGCAGGAAGTAATGTATAACTGAGATGATGCAAAAGAGCCTGCAAAAAACCTGCCTTGGAGCTCTTCAGCAGCGCTTCAGTTCAATGGCTCACAGTGCTCTGGGAAGAGGCAAAGCCTCAATGAAATGGAACAGGGAATATTTATGCATCCTGCTCCAGTGAGTGAAGGCATCCACTGAAACCAGGCTTCATTCAGCTTCCCCTACACAGAGTAAACGTGCAAGTGCAGGCTAAATCCCAAGGGTTGTGAAACAGCAGTGCATGGCTATCCTAGAGCCTATAAAGAGCCCCCCTCCTTTTTCCCAGCCAAGTCTGGATCAAAGCAGAGCCATGGAACATGGCTCACACACACTCATGTCATGCTTTATGGAATAAGAGCTCAATACATAATTTATCTACTACACACGCCTATGAAGTAGTAATTACACTGTGCATGCATAAAAATCAGACAATGAATTTAAATGACCTGTTAAAGGCCACAAAACAAGTTGGTGGCTAAGTCAAGATAATTGCAGTTACCTCTGAGTAATCCACTATCAGAGCAAGCAATGTGCTACTGAACTCATTTCTCTCAGTGAAAAAAGGACCATATGAAATCAAACAATTCAGCTGACACCTTCTGGTTTACCAATCAAGCTTATAGAACAAAAGAAGTTGATCTTTCATTATTCATGCCATTAACTGCATTGCAAACTAGTTATCAACCCTTCTAGTAACAGCCAAACATGGGCAGGCACATTAAGAGCTAACAGTTAAAATATCAATCTGGCTTCACACACAAATATGTACCAGTCTAGCTGGTAACACTGACCCTCACCAGGCACTTTTCAAGCAGTTCTCACAGGACCCTAAGGACTCTTACTCCTACACGTCAGAGAACTTTTTTTGCTGATAAAGACTTTGTTTGTGAGCTAAGAATCCATGACCTTTCTGTGAAAAAAACCCAAACAAGTACAAGACAAAACGTTCACGCCCCAAGTTATTCTAGTGCAGAGATAAGACAGAAGTGGCAACTGTAAAATATGAATAATACTACTGACCTCCAGAGTAGGACATTTAGTATTTCTATATTGTTGTCTCTGTGTGTGTGTGTATATCTTTATACATATATCTCACTGAGAACATGTCTAGAATAGGGAAGCAAGTAGAAAGAAAGAATTTAATTTTCACAGATATTAAAACCACCCCAGCTCTGAGGGGCAAGGCTGCAGAAAGATGCTATTTGGTAAACTGAGTTAAGTTACTGCTACAGGGCCATTAACAATGACTAGACCACAGTAAAAAGGAAGCTAAACATGGTAAATCTAAACTCCAAGTCAGTAAGACTTTGAGACCAGGAATAGAGTCCTGCATCACACCTTGTCTCTGTAGATCTGATAATAATCCAAGCACAAGCCATTCTGTGGCACGGGTTACAATACAGAGTCACATACATGCAGATATTGTGCATTTATCACAAAATCAGGCAAAGTGAAGTGTTTGCAGCATAGGTGAGAAACTCTGTGGAACCACTGCCACTCAAAGAGGAGCCTCCAAATCCAAGGTGCAGAAGATTGAAGCCATGTACTGACAGACAATTCCTTAACTCCTGAAATTGTTCAGTTTTATCTCCAAAAAGTAGAGCTGAATTCAAGCAAACCCCACATGATTTTTCACAGAGCTTTTCAATGCCTTGAACCTACTGAGGAGCAATTTAGTGCTACTCTGACCTTTCATATGTTGTGTAAAACGGCAGGCTGCTTCTACTGAGCTCCTACAACCACAGTGGCCTTTTCCTTTCTGGAAAAGGAAAGAAAAATGCAAGTCTGATTTTTTTGAAAAGGAGTTTTGAACTCAAATCAGGAACAAATAATCCATGCCTGTTTGCAACCCTCCCAGCATGCTGCCAACCAACATTTTCCCTTACAGCTGTACAACAGCACTCAAAACACATCCACACACAGCCCCTCCTGGAGACAAAACACCTAGCTGAGAAAACAGTGAGCACATTTCTCCCCAGGAATAAGCAGGAATCTTGCTTTGCAAAGCTGCTGAGGGTGGCAGGTTTGGTTTTGTTTAACTAAAGCTCATTCCCTCTCTAGGCACTGCACTTTGCAGAGGGAAAATAAATAGGCTGGAAAAAACCCAGAAGCTGGCAGGGGAGAACCTGCAGGGAAGCAAGCTGCAGTGTAAACAGGGAGGCAGAGCAGGGCTGGGGGTCAGCAGGGCAGGACTGGATCGGGCGGGGGAGTGCAGGTACAGCCCCTGCCCTACCACCAGGGTGGAGGCAGGAAAAAGGGGCCAGGCGCCACTTTCCAAAAAGGAAATTTCACCCTGCCCAGGATTTCCAAACTGCAATAATTTTCCATGGGCCAATCAGGGAGGAGCAAGGCAAACGCACCAAATTAGGAAAGTAAATACTAGAAGGGGGAGAGGAAGGAGGAGGAGGAGAACCCAGCAACCACCTCCCAAAGGCAGCAGTGGGAGAGGGGTCTGAGTTTCATGCTGAGCCCCACCAGCCCTCCCAGCTCTGCCTCTGGGAAGGAGAAGAGGACACTGTGCCAGCCTCACCCAGCACTGTGAAGCCACCAAGAGAGCAGAGAGCTGCCCTGAAAGTCAGAGGGCCAGAATGCACAGCTACATGCTCCCAAAGGAGCATTCCCTTCTCAGGCAGAAACACCCAAATCACTTCCCAAGCCTGGCCCACAGGGGAGAGCTGCAGGACCCTGCTGGGGGAGAGGGGAAGGCTGCAGGGGCTGAGCAGGGATGTTTACAAACGTGTCAGGCCCTCCTCTGTAAGAGGAACTAGGAAATGAAAGGGCTTCAGCAAGCGAAACCTCAGATGTCTTTTGAGGTTTTCTGAAGACTTGGCTGGCTCAGCTTCTGCTCGAGACAAACGGATGCAATCATTAATCACCCTCAGTAAACACTGCGTTAGGGGCCGAGCACAATTCAACACTACTATTTCCACTTTCTCCTTATGCAAAAGAAACATTCCCAGGGAATCAAATATCAGTTGCAGGCATATGCCAGAGTCAAAAGATACAGCCTCTGTTAGTAACACAAACCACACTGTGCTGCTTTGCACAAGATGACTGAATGGAAACTAACTACCATATGTTGGCAAAGGAACCATCCCCCTCCCCTCCCAGCAACAAGCTTCATCTAAAAAGAGAAGGTTAAATATAAACCAAAAGCAGTGCCTGAACAGAGGACTAAAACCACAGCCACCTCCAGCCCCCTCTTTCTAGAATATCTGCACTGCACATCTGTGCAGCTCTGCAAGGCGGTCGGAAAAACCCAAACAAGCCTCTGGATCATGCAAACCCAAACCAGCTTCATTGTGACTCTGAAGTCTCAGTCTCAGCCATGCAGATTTGAATACTACTCACTGAATTAGTGCTGTCAGAAGAGATTTGCATATTATACCTTTTTACAAATGTACAGACAAGAAAACAACCCAAAGGCTACTACTATTACCAGGCACACTCTTGCTATTTTGATGACCACATGTTTTAAAATTCTAATGCATCATCCTATACCATAAAGTCTGCTTTACTTTACAAAATGCATGATACTTCAAGCAACAGATTTAACCTTAAAAGATTTCACTGAAACTCTGTAACATCAACTCTTTGCTGAAGAAGAAAGAAAATATTTCATGAACTTGATGTTCATCTTATTTCTAATGCACATCCACTGATCAGATCATTTACAAAACAGGATACTCGCCCAGATGTACATTTAGATTGCTACAGCCCCTCAGTACATGGTCAGCATTCTACCCCCATTTCCTTCCATTCCCAGGAAACCACGTGCCAATGGCCACCCCGTCCCTAACTTCAGATAACAGCAGCACCACCCAGCAACAACAGAATATTGCTGGGATAAAAATAAAACAGGCAGTCTTAAGATAGAAAGTATATGCCTGCTTTCTTTTCTCCATGCATATAGGTAGCTCTCAATAAATATTTCTAATTCCACTGCCAAATATAGACTCTATATGTAACTCTATAGTGTGAAACCAACACTGAAGTTTACCCTTGAACTCTCTGAGTCCTTAAAGAAAACCCTTGTGCCCTACTGCCGGCCACCATTTTTTAGCAGTCTCCCATCATTTTGAACATCAGAGATTTAATTAGTTATTTTTAATGGGGCATTTCTTGCACCAAGGATACCAAACAAAGCAGGGCAGACAGGCTGATGTCAGAGAAGACATTTTTGAGAACTGAACATCTTACCTGATAGTGCCTGTGGGGGACGGGAGGGGACTGACCACGCTCCGGAGATCCGGCTCCGGGATGTGGATCTTCAGAGGTGATATCTGAGGGTAAAGTGGCCGAAGGGGATGTGTTGAGGCTTCCTCTTTTACTTCCTCTTTATGGTATAAAGATGTGAACTGGATTTTTATAACCGTGCTAGGGAATCGGAAAGTACATCTGGAAGAGAAGGAAAGGGAAAAGTCAGTTTCACACATGATACTGAATGTACTTCAGAGGTTTTGCATGCAGTTGATGCATCATTAATTAATTGAAAGTCCAACATTCTCTACTGATCCTTCTGCCTCGTGTCTTGGGCAGAATTACTGATCATTCATAAAGCTCTGTAAATACTTCCCAGTGAATCATGGCCATCTAGAGATGAGATGCAAGCTGAAGATTTGGATAAGTTCAGTGATTTCCTCAAGGCCATGTATTCAATCAGTGACTAAGCAAGATGCACTCCTGTAACAACAAACTCTTGGGTTCCTGCAATGTATCAAGGACTAGGATCTATTTTTTATTAGCTCACTGTACCTATCTCAGCAAGATCCAAGTCCCTAGAAAGGGTATCAAACCACAAGCAATAGGGAACAAAAACAACCATAAAGTCCAGATAGAGCAACAAACAGCCTCCAGGTAAGATCAGAGAGTACTATTTAAAGACTTGTCTCTATATATTGTATAATTGATATCCATTTATATTTATGCACATGATTTTAAAGGATCATCTAGCAGGTTTCAGATTAAAATACATTACTTTAGAAGTGCCTCCCTTTAGGGTTACAGCTAGCAGGTTTACAACAGGGCCCCTGCAAGCCTGTGGGGCCTCATTCCTTCTCTAAGTAACATTTCTTTCCAATTGTTATTTAGGAAAAAAATTAATCACACAAGTGCAGCCTTCAGGAGATGCTTGGAAATTCAAAAGGAAATAAGCACTGACATTTTCCATATTTGAACAGAAAGCTTTCTAATTTACAGTGTCTACAATGAGCACAGGGCTGTAAGAGTGAGTGTTCTGCAATTCTTCTTATTGGATTTAATTAGACAATCATGTGCAATCAATACAAGCTTTCCAGGAATCATTTCACTGATACTAAGGTTAAAGCAGCAGGAAATAAAAACCAGGTTTCACCGTGGGAAAGACCAGCAGAGCACAGTAATTGTGCTGGATTCCAGCATCTTGCCTACAGAAGGAAAGGAAGGGATTTGGGTGGTGTTGTTCTAGCACTGTAAGTGCTGGTGTGGGCTGAGCAGAATTCTTTTAACCAGTGCACTATTGAATCCTGCCAGGTAACAGAACAGGGTGACAAGCAAGTCAATCTGCACCTTATCTTAATGGTGCTATTGACAGAAATGCAGCTCTAAAACACACTCACTTGCTCTTGGTTCTTTGGCACAAGCAGATTGTGCTGTAAGGTAATGCTCAAAATTATCATTCAGGCATGGGCAGCTCATTCCCATCTCCCACCTCATCTCTCAAATGAGCTGGCTCAGCATTCAGCGGCTCTGCTAGTATAGCAGGAGTTTGCATTGCATTTAATTCACTTCAGAGGTCCTGCCACCTGCACTCATTAATGCATTAAATAAGAACATCATTGCTGGCAATGCAACCTAATTGTGTTTATCTAACCCTTCTAAACAAGGTTCCCTGCAGACTCAACATGAAGGCACAGCTCAAAACAGCAGTGTCCATGCCTTGCAGTGTCTGCCAGCAGCAGGCATCAACCTCCTGAGGTGAACCTGAAACAAGGATGTTGAGCCACTGCCCTGGATTTTAAGCTTTGTACTGCTACATGGATTTGCTTAAAGAGAAAAAGCTCAAAGTACATGTATTTGCAATGAGCATCACATGGACTCAGGCTCAAAACCAGTACAAGCAAAGCTTCATCATTTCTCAAGGCCTTATCAGGGAAAAGCTGAGCTGCCTGTCACAGAGCAAAGGAATTCTCTGCTGTAACACCAACTGCTCAGCATTTTCCAACACCTGAGTCAAGGACAAATCAGTCCCTGCTCAGCAGTGCTCAGTGCAATCCCAGCCTGCTGCTGATCAACAGGCCTGACTGCACAGAGCCCTAAGGCAGTTCTGTAGCACTGCTGAGGCCAGGAGATCCCCTCTGCAACCTCAGAGCAGTGAGGAGCTCTATCCCACTGCCACTTAGGTCTTCCTTCTCAGAAGGAGCCAGTAATGCAAGATTCATATCTCCTAAATTGCTCTGAGGTGATGGTAAAGTAACTCCTTAACTCCTTAATATTAGATAAAAAGTGATACCTGCACACAAACCACTGTGAGAGGCTGTCCCATCAGCCTGTGAGTGTGGGCAATCTCAAGAAAATCTGTTACTTTTCCATAATCATGAGCCAACCTGAGAAGTGAAGTCTAAAGTAAGGCAGTAACCGTGCTGAAAGGCCCATCCAGCCCTGCTTTCCCTGCCAGCCTCCCCAGAGCCAGCCATGTGATTTACCCACAATCTCAGCCTGCAGCCAGGCACAGGAACACAGCCTGGGCTGGGCTGACTACACCAGCAAACAATTCCTTGGCTGCTGAGATTTTGTTTTTAGACCGACAGGCTTCCCAGTTCACTGAAGCAGAACCCAGGATGTACAAGCAGCTTTCGTGGATTATGGTAATGAGCATGAACACGGCCATTTTGTAAGGAACCAGTCCCAGGAAAAGCAGGGTATATGGATATATGGATATATGGATATATGCAAGGGTGCTCACAGCTTTAGAAAGTCCTGCAGCCTGCTCTGAGCTGGCTTCAGTACTGACACTGCCTGCAAAGCCAAGCTGGGGTAACATGGCTGTATTTAAGCTTTTCCTGATGTAAAAACCTGCGACCCAAGACATGGAAATGCAATGCAAAGCAGATTGTAAATTCCTGCGGAACTCCTCCCTTCCCCCAGGGGTGAGAAGGTGCCCGGGATTAAGGTTATTGTTCCAGTCTATCACAACCACCACAGCAATGCAAACAGGGCCACCAGCACAGCCCAGGCCACTGCTTCAAATCTATACAGCCTAATGCTGGGGAACCGAGTCACTGAGAAATCAGAAAAACATGATTTTGGGAGCATCTTGTCACAGGAAGCTCACTTTTCACACCATTGAACCTGAATGCAATTTTAATAAGCTTTCCTATTGTTCCCTTAATTACCCTCTTTCCAACCAAGAGGATAAACTTAAATTATACCAGGTAGTCCTAATTGGGAGTGAGGCACATTAGTGCAGGACTTAAACCTCTGAGAACTACACTTCTACAGAAGATAAGCAGGACAAGACAGACAACCCAAGCAGAACTGAGCATGCAGTCCTTAAGATTATTTATGTTATTTAAACTGAGTTATACTATTTGATCCATGTTGCATGATTCCTATCAAAGATGCAATAACAACTTTTACTCCTGCTTAACATTTTCATTATGAGAAGAAGATCAATCTGAAAGCACAGATTAGACTCAACATAAAAAGCATAATGAAGTTAACTGGTATTTTCAAGGGTGCCCAAGAGGCAATTCTTTCACACACCTCTGAAATTTCCAGCAGATTAGATGGATGAATTAATGGCAAAATCTTTGGTCTTGTTATGGGCAGGAGGAGCCTGCCTCAGTTACAGATCTGCTGAGTTTACTCAATAATCAGCTACAGACAGGTGTGTGCTGCAATCAATCCCTGGCCACAGCAATCATATGGACTGAAATCACATTTATAGTAAGGCACATTCATCAGTTCCTTGTGGGTTCCAGTTTCTCTAGGATGCCTTGCAAGGCAGTGAGAATAGAAAGCTTTTCTCTTTTCTTTTAGTTTGTGTTAAAACTAAAAACACACAAACAGCCTCCTCAACCTCCACAAACTGCACAGAAATTCCTGTCTTCTTGGACTACAGGCAGGAGACAGTCACAGAAAATGGATTGCTGGCTCCATGCTGCCTGCTGGAGTGCACAAATCCATACAAGTGGCTGAATGCATGCTATATATACACTGGAGACCAAGGGGGAGAGGAGGAGTGCACATTCCACACATGGTTACAGTCACATAAAAGATGTTGCTAGAACTTTGTTTGCTTGTTTTACACAAGACAGATTTTTCCAAGAGTTTCCTGGGTGAGCTCCTCCCACTGACAGCACAGCAGCTCCCATGCTATTAGGCATCCTTCATGTGGTGAACCAGTGACAGTGACCACAAACATTTCATCTGCATAAAGTCTGAAAATAAAGTGCTAGGAAACACTAGACTTTACATAAACAGTCACCCTACAGCAGACTTCAGGAAAGATGGTTAGGGGACAAAACCCAACAAAATGACTGCATCCCCTGCATGGCTCTATAAAAAGCAGACATTTTCCTCCTCCTCAAAGCACCTTTTACTCACAGATGCAAAGGGAATGGAGACGCATTTGCCAAAACATAGTACCAGGTTCAATAGAAGCTATTACAGTCACTGACTTCTTTGTTAAAGCACCCTGAGCTCTGTTAGCACCAAATGACTTCTGCTAAGATCTGCTGCATGACAGCAAGAAAAGGCTATTTAAAGATTTTAAAAGGAGGCAGGAAACTGTGCTGGATTTATGCTTTTACATTCACACTGAGGAAAAGCACAGTGACAAAAGAAGACAAATCATGAGAAAGCCAAGGTGAAACATATATATAAAATATACATATAACATGCATATATAAAACTTGGAATGATATTTATATACTGTTATATATATATAAACATAATGTAGTACGTTATGTTATATATAAACATCATTCCAGTTCATCATGCAAAAGAAATAACCAGAAAAGTAAGCTGGAACTACAACACGTGTTGTAATCAGCAAGTTGGTACCATCTTTGTCTACTTTATCTCTCCATAATTTATGAAATCCTGTTATTCCTGAATGTTGGGGGTATAACTGCACCAGGAGCATCTGTGGTACAGTGCTGAGATGCAGGTCGAGCGAGAAACATTGCAGGAGGTGCTCTGTTAAAAATATCACTTTTTACAATTTGAATCAGACAGCACCACAGGCCCCAGGTTTCATTCAAAACCTGCTTAAGCATGACTGTCTGCAAGAGCCCTTTTCTTTTTAAACAGAAACTGTAACCACCCTGCTGACACTCAGTATCTCAAGCTTTCCCTCCATCACCCTGACTTTGCATCAGCACTGGTGTGACCAGCAGGACCAGGGCAGGGACTGT